GTTTCAAGTAGTTCTCCTCTAGAGAGCTCAAGTCTGTAGTAGTGGTACATTCTTAAAGCTTTTCACTATCGCCTCCTATACTACTTGAGTTCAGAATTACACACAAGTATAATTTTAATAGAAGCAGGAAAAGAAATCTAGCAATTTAATTTAGAACCAACTATCAGTTCTATCATTCCTTACCATATATTTACCCTATGACTGATGCCCCACTGGACGGCATTTGCTCCATTCAGTTTTGAAAATGACCTCACCACCTGGATGAGACTAAGGTCATTTGGTGAGCAATCCTCTAGTGCAGCGGTTCTCAACCTGTGGGTTGTGACCCCTTTGGCAGACAAACGACCCTTTCACAGGTGTCGCCTAAGACCTTTCTGCATATCAGATATTTGCATTACGATTCATAACAGTAGCAACATTACAGTTATGAAGTAGCAACGAAAATAATTTTATGGTTAGGTCACAACATGAGGAACTGTATTTAAAGGGCCAGAAGGTTGAGAACCACTGCTCTAGTGCCTCTTTTCCACACCTGAACTCTGGTCATTAATCCTCTGATGCTTGGGAAGACATGTCAAGGCTGATCTCTTCACGCCTACTCTCGATCCCAGTTCTTGCCTCCTTTGATTTCTCCCCCTATATTTTTTGTTTTGCCTATAACCATACGTAAACCTTTCCTACATTTAAAATCAAAATCTTCTTTCATGTACCTCAGAATCTCTCAAAAGAACATCCTCACCTTTAATTCATCTTTAGTTGTTTATCATTCTTCTATTCCTCCGCCCCATGCCCATGCATATCTTCTCCACTGAAACCGTCCTTGCCAAAGGACCAGCGATACCAATTTCCAAATTTCCTGGCATCTTTTTTCAGGTCCCACTCTTCTCACTGCTGTACTACACTCCACACTGGAGACCATCTTCCTCTTATTAAAACCTTTTCCTCCCTTTGCTTCTGACTCTTGTAGAACATCTCTCATGGGAATAGGAATATACTGCAATTAGCTGGCAACATCATAACAATATATTCAGGAGTTACAAGTATAATGAATAGTTCTTTCAAGTTTACATATAAACCTGGCAGAAAATCTGGTAGGAATACTACTATATATGACCATTTTAATTACCCCAGTTGACAACATGAGCCATGTACCTAACTCATATACAGGTTTTCAAGACAGATATAATTAGTAGTAAATGTCTACCATTAAAAAGAAAACGAATATTTTTAGTGCCCCATAGTGATTGGGGCTTCTCATAATATTGATATTAAAGTAGTTGAGAATTAAGGAAGATATGAAAGGTTTGTATTCTATAACTTATAAGTGTGGCCTGGCAGAAAGCTGCCCACTGGAGCCTGCTTCTGATCTTTATTGTTAAAATATGACTACCCTCCAGGGATAATGTCTGCAGTAATTCAAACAAGTGGTAACTTCCATTTATACATAGTCATTACAAAACATTAGCTAGTATAGATGCAGAAAAACAAGAACCTAAAATACATCACGATCAGCCTTATGCACTGGAAATGGGTCAATAAAGGGCCTTGGAAATCAGATAAAGTATGCTTGCAAGGACATGATCACAAGCAAGAGCAGAGAAGCAGCCAAGTTAATACATCCTTGCCATGGGAACCAGGTATACCAATTTCAGTTGTGAAGTTTCTGAGAGCAAAGCTCTTTGACATTTCTTCATTCACAGAAATGCTGAGTATAAAGGCCTACTTCACTGAAAGCTAGACTTGGCCGAGACTGAGAAATCAAGCATTATCTCTCTGTATCCATTCCCTTAATCTGGTTTTCCACTTACATTTCCAACCCAATATTCTATTTTACTTTACTTGTTCAACAAGCATTTGAGTATAAGCTGCTTCTAGGTGCTAAGGATACAATAATGAATTAGACCTCCCGCTAAGAAAGTTAAAAGTTGAGCTGAGATCCAAAGAAAAAGAGGCAGCCAGGTTAGGGGAAGTGTTTAATGGAAAAGAAACGTGTTGAACAGGAGCAGGAATGAACATGGAACATTTTAAGAGGTTATATAATCTGTTAAAAATGGAAGCAGAATGGAGCGAAAGGATGGGTAAGGGCACAGCATGAAGGGAGCAGGAGCAGAAAGTGATGTTAGAACTGCACCAGATATCCAGGTAAGAACTATTAGTGGCTTGGGGTATGGTGGTGGCAGTGGAGATAAATCGAAAATTCCAATAGATTTTGGTGGATGTTGGTCCCAGCTTGAGGAAGCAAGGTTGGTCTGAGCACCTGAGTTGAAGGCTGGAGGAAAAGGAGAGTGTTAAGGAGAAAAATCAAGAGTTCCTTCACATGACATGATCTCCATCCAATCTTCCTTATGCAGGTCCACATTTCCTAACTCCTTGACTGTTTGTGTTCTTTTGTTTATTTTTTATTGATTTCAGAGAGGAAGGGAGAGGGAGAGATAGAAACATCAGTGATGAGAGAGAATCACTGACTGTCTGCCTCCTGCACACCCCACACTGAGGATCAAGCCTGGACATATGCCTTGACCGGGAATCGGACCGTGATCTCCTGGTTCATAGGTCAATGCTCAACCACTGAGCCACACCGGTTGGGCGACTATTTGAAAGTAACATTCCTTCCACTTAAAATGGTCTCCTTCCTACCTTTTCCCCCCACCCATGCCTATACCAACCTATCTCCTAAAGCCACTTGTAAGATTACCCTGATATTTCATTCATCCCATTTATCCCCCCAAGTTGAGTAACTCATTTCTCTAGATTTCCTGGAACTTTATTTCTACCTCTTAAGAAATGTAATACTTTCTACCTGAATTAAATTTTCTGCACATATAATAAACATACTATTATATATCTTTTCAGAATGTAAGCTTCTTGTCTCATCCATCTTTCTACCTCTGACAATATTGTACTAGCGTGTTTTATACATGACATGGATAAGACTCACAATCTGCAAACATTTAATGTTACCTTAAACACAAAGCCTTCACAAAGATAAAAGTCCCCTGCTAGAATCTCATTAACACACATTAAATTAAAACAAAATTTAAGACTGCAATAATTCTTTCTGTATATAAAAATAGCCAAAATCTAAAAGGATCAACTTCACAAAATACACTGAAAAAACATTAACATTTAAATGAGACAAAAACTGCAAATTAAATCAGTAGAAATTAAGTAAATCAATTTATTTTTCTGTATATTTCACAAGTATAATTTTGGAAGGGCTACTTGACAAATTTCAGCATTAACTGCCAACTCTACAGACATGTTCAACAAAAAAGGCATTTACTCTTGGCCCTTTTAGTACAAAGTGTCCTACTGCATCACAAATAAGAGATGTGGTAACAGATCTGAGGGTATATTAAAGAATTAGATATTTCCTTTCAAATGCTATTTAGTTTAAAAATAATACAAACACACATTAATGGTTATCATCACCACCAGTGACTCGCAGAATAAAACATATAGGCCTACTTACTTAAATGACCAAAACTATTAAAATCAGTGTTTTTACTCTTATTTTAACAATACCAGAATGAGATTTTTTAAAATCTTAATTTTACAAGGTGTGGTGGGGAAGACTGGCAGTGTATACTGAGTTGCAGAGTTGGGATGGTGGCTCAAATTGGTCATTATTCAGATTAAGATAGTGTTTTAGAACATTAAAAATGTGTCCTTAATTGTAACCTATTGGGAACAATAGTAAAAATTGGTAATTCAAGCCCTAAATACCATTTAATGAAAGCCGTCAGGGCTTAAATAAGTCAGGATGGGGGACGCAGTAAAATGAGGTGAAAAAGGAAAGAGTGGACATGTGTTTGGACATTGGGGAATGTGAAAAGGCCACCAGAGAAACTGTTTTAGTCGTCACTCAGATGTGCTCTTTCTATAGGCTTCCTTGCTCCTGGCTCACCAAACACCAAGTTTAGAACACAATTTAAGTTGAGATTACATTTCAACTTTGATAAAGCATCACTAATTTGGACTAAGAATACATCTGATTTAGTAAAAAGTATCAGTTATATTCAGAGGTATGGTTTTGTTACATCAAGTAAAAAGAGTGACTAATTCCCACTGTTGAAGTAAAACAAGTAGAGGCCTTACCAGGTCAGCAGCACAAAAGGGTTGACTAGTAAATAGACTGCAAATATGCTCCTTCTAGTTCATCAAAAACAATCCAACAAGCATTACTACTATTCCAAATGCCAAGAACGGCCATTATTTTAGTCAGCTGTAGCTTTCAAAACTGGCATGTTTCTCAAAACTGTACTATCAAGTAGGAGCTACTAGACATGAAACAGGTAATTTATTTCAGACGTTATCCAAGACTTTCATGAAATATTTACCTTCACTTTACTTCAGCATTCATCTAAAATAATAAAAGGGTAATATGCTAATTAGACTGGATGTCCTTCCAGACGAAGCCCCAGTGACGATATGCTAATTAGACCGGATGTCTTTCCAGACGAAGCCCCAGTGACAGGGGCAGAGGCAGAGGTGGCCGCAGGGGCCAAGCCCCTTGCACGAATTTCGTGCATCAGGCCTCTAGTTTATAATAAACAGGACTATGCTAATTAGACCGGATGTCTTTCCAGACGAAGCCCCAGTGACAGGGGCAGAGGCAGAGGTGGCCGCAGGGGCCAAGCCCCTTGCATGAATTTCACGCATCAGGCCTCTAGTTTATAATAAACAGGACAATTAAAAGTAGCCATCTCTCAAACCACAACTCTGCAATCATAGAAATGGATGAATATGATTGAGCTCATCTAGTCAAAATCTTCATTCTAGCAGTGGCGAAATGATCTGCAAATGTCAGCAAACTGAGCAGAGGTGAACCAAAAACAGAAAGCTAAAACCTCTCCATCCCAAGCACCAATAATGGAGGCTAAGCAATTATACCTACAAATCCTTAATGACAGGTCTTTCCCAATGGAAAATCCTGAGATTTTAAGCACTGTGACTTTACAGAAGGCAGGTTGGTTTAATGAGGAAATTTTTAATAAAAAGACAATCAACAATATTTTATTTTGGGCACTTATTCAGTATTTCACAGATCCTCAAGTTTTGAGGTAGGTTAAATATTAGCTTTGTATTTTACAAACTAAAACTCAGGCAGACGTTACATCACTTGTCACAAATCACAGCAGGAGTGCTATCATGGTCAAGAATAATACGGTCTCTCTGATCTTTCAGATTCATCTCTGATGCATAGATTTAATGGTGATAGCTTGCACATAAACATTTTAAAAAACTAGATATTGCAGAATTTCTACTTTGGAGTATTTTGTAATTTTTTTTTTTAAACATGGAACTATTCATGAATTTGCTTGTCATTCTTACACAGGGACCATGCTAACCTCTATTTTTCCAATTTTAGTGTATGTGCGCCAAAGTCAGCACTATTTTGTAATTCTTAAATCGATCCTGCAATAATTATAGGTATTGTGGAATATCCTACTTGTTCCCATTTCCTAAAATTACAAATTAACACATTACTGATTTTGTTCATTTCTGCTTTTTGGGGTGGGTAGAGCACAAAGATAATCAGTGAGCTTTCCTCAGAGCGTTAGGCTGTCTTTAAGTGCAGGTGCTATACTCAAAGCACCATCTATGATGATTTAGGTGCCTGGACCCAAAAGAAGGGTGGCCCTGTGCAAGTCAAGGATGAAGAGAAAAATAGTATCATCTGATTACTGATCCTCATCACACTAGAACATTACAACGACTTATGGGAAGAGTTCCTATAAGAGCAGTAAATTTGTCCTAATAAAGTCTGTTGAAGTTCTTACTAATTAGATAAAAACACAAGTAAAAATAAATTGATATTTTATTAAAGTGACATCTATAGAAGCAAGACATCTAAATATTTTAGTATGAGTATGTTCCACCTATCATGTACATTAATCGTCACAAGCTTAATTCACTTAGCTCATCAGAATTCCTTAAAATTATTTACCAGAGTTCAGCTCATCCTGACATAGGTTCTCGGGCCAGTCTTCTCAAGAACTTGTTTCATTATAAAGTTCCTTTTACTGAAACTGTCAAATACTAATAATATAGCAATAACAATGGTTAACTAAAATGTTGTTAAGGAAAACATCATTATAAAATCCAGCATTCAGCAGAGCAAGTTTCAAGAGTTAGGATATAGACATTATGCTTCCGAACAGACTGAACAGCACAGCCCAATATTTGAGTCAAAGAAGCAAGAAAAAAAAAGAAGGGAGGGGCCACAGGAGGCAGAGCTTTGAAGCCTTTTATTTTAGTGTCCCCAAAACTGACTGTGGAAGTAAAAAGTTTCTACATTTAAAAGTTTATATAAATTACATGAATTGCAATTTCCCTAAAAGTCAAAATGAAATGTTCTGCATAGGACAAAAGATATGCCTAAGCAACATATCATATTTGCACAAGGCCACTGAATGTCATGGATATTAATAACAAATGAAAAAGCTTGTCTATGGCAGACTGAGCAAAGATGTCAGTTTGGTATTCTATAAGCCCAGGATTGTAAACTACTCTTACTATACAAAAGCTCTAATGACATACAGAGTTTTGTGTAGGAACTTTTGTGCTTCTGGTTGGCACATCATCTACTTTCTAATATATGAAATTAATACAGACATTTGTGAGAGGTTGTGCAAAACTATTGTATTTACAAAAATGGCACAAAAGTGAATTCAACAGTCGATGCACATGCATACTTCATTCATATCTTTAACAACAAAAGGTATTCTAACTATAGAACTGAAGAAGAATATTAGCTTCAACGGCAGTTGTTAAGCACTAGCGTCACATAAGTTACACCAGAATGGGCAAATATTGCCCAAGTAAACTTCTATTGTTAAAGCTGAAACAGGTTTAAGGCCATTCAAGTCCAAGCACAGAAATACAAATCTTTTGGAGCCCCATCTATTTGTGTTTGAAATATGTGACTTTTCGTCCAACTTGTGGTCTTAAACTTCTGTTTATAAAATCCAAAAGGAAGATAACAAAGAAATCAATACAATAGAGGTTAATTAAATAAGAGTAACCTACAAAGCTATAATTAGGATGAAGTAAAGAAAGCCAAAACATTAAAATTGTAAAACTTGCTTCGTAGTTGTTAGGACCTCCCTACACTAGCAGTTAGGTAATATATACAATTATTTTCAAGTAGATTACTTTATGCTGCTCTAACATGTTCTCTTCATCAGTGCACTGTTAAACTAATCAAAAACTCTTACATGTATCTTCCCTTACAATAGTAGCACACACTACCACTACCTGCAAAGCTGTCACTCTCAAATGACTTTGTGAGTGGAAGGAAATAAAAAGCGGGGAGTGACATATTAAGGAAAAACAATGGGAATTAGAAGATTCATGCAGTTCAGCTCTTTTAATCAGCCAGCCAGCTTGCTAGCAACAAGGGATGGTTTCCGTTGAGGAAGGTCCTGTGGAGTGGGAATGTGGTCACCAGTGACCTCTGTCTTATCCGGGGCTGCAGCAGGAAGTTGCTTGTTCTTCATCTTTGCTTTAGCCATGTTGTAATCTCCAGAATCAAAATATTTTTGCTACAAGAAAAAAAAATTCAGAGAATTTAAAAGCTTTCATATGCAATTACACTGGTTTAAGATGTGACTCTATATTGCCAGTGTAAGTTATTCTAACAAAATTTAAGCAAAAACAAAAATTAGATGAAATAGCTATCTCTGTCAGCCACAAGTCAGCCAACGGAGAAGTTAGGCAACAACCCTTTCTTCAGGCTTACTTATATTATTCTGGTTTCAGTATAGAAGCCTCAGGATTGACATCAGCTTCCTCATCAATCCACCCAGGAAGGAACAGTCCAGGACTTAAAGAGTGAAATGCAAGCCTTTCATTTACTAGTGGAAAAAGCAGGCTCATTTCATCCAAATAAAAGGTATTTTAAGCCTTTGGATATTATGTAGAAATCACCTTGAAAACAGTTAAAAGTTAAAAACAACAACACAAAGACATGAGCAGAAGAATAAATACCAGCATCTGGATGGTGGCTGCTTTTGGAGAGAAGGGAGAAAGGTGATATGCAAACACATGTGGTAGGTTTAAGTATATCTACATTTTCTTTCTTGTAAAGATAAAGCTTATGTAACTATGGCACGACATAAACCTGTTAAATCTGCGTGGTGAGTATATGGGTTCTACTGTATTATTATATTATCTTAACCTTTCTACATGCTCGAAATAATTTATAGTTAAAAGTGATAAAAGAATCCTAGATTCTTAATTCTTATCATAGGATGAATAGGCTAAAACATTGCGGAAAAAACCATTATACACACACACAGAGCTATATATGCAGATACCCATATCACAATCCCTATCGGCACACTGAGGTTATAGAGCTTAAGTATTTGAAGACTAGACAAAAGAACTTACCCCTTTCTGCAATCGTTTCCTTAAGAAATCGGAACCACCAGGCTTTTGTCCCAGGTGAGGATACCTTGCTTTTAATTTTGCTTCTTCAGCTTTCTCTGGATTAGTCACTTTATCTTCCATTTCCTGAAAAAATGTTAAATAAATTACTTCTTTATTACAATTCAGTTATTTCAAATAATTCACCTTTCAATACTTGGATTCTGACTTTGTCTAATGCCAAATAATGCAGCATCTGACTAAAAAATCAAACACAGAAGCTTTTAAAACATCTCTATCTTCTTTTTCCCAATGATCCATGTGATAGCTCTATTATAGCTGTGTGATGCATGTGCAACACCCCACACAGTGGATAAAAATATCAAGGTAACTCAGCTCTGAAGTCTTGCTTGCCATTCCTTGTTAGTCATGTATAATACATTTATAGTTAGTTACCTTCTATGGAATTCATCAACTCTTTGCCTATATATGGAAAATCATCTTAATACTGTTAAAATACACAAGATATTTTTGATCACCTATTTATCCAAAACCCTGAATGATTGGAAGCTCCTGAGATTCTTTAATGCAAATTAACAGCAGCTTAGTTACCAGCACATTTTTTTCTGAATAACTCATTACAGAAGACTGTGACATTTGTAACGGAGAAAAACATCATCTTCATCAGTCTTCATATATATATATTATTACCTAATTATGCCCCATAATTAATGACCCTATTCACACTAAACATTCCATTCTTTGATGTATGAAAATGTGTTTTCTGACCAATGACTGTCAATATCTTAAGGCTATTCACTTTTTTTGTTGTTGTTAATCTTCACACAAGGACATATTTTTTTATTTTTACTAGTAGAGAGAGTGGAAGGGAGAAAAGTGGGGGGAGGGGAGAAAGGGGGTATTAATGTGAAAGAGACACATCTGTTGGTTGCTTCCCGCAAGTGCCCTGACTGGGGCAGGGATTGAACCTGCAACCCAGGTATGTGCCCTTGACCAGGAATCGAACACATGACTCTTCGGTGTGCAGAACAATGCTCTAACCACTGAGCAACTGGCCAGGGCAAGGCTATTCATTTTTAACACCAGCCCTGACATAGTCTAGTTTCTTCCCAAGAGCCATCCTATCCTATATAATAAAGAGCTAATATGCAAATGGTCATCACACCCTTGCGTTGGGGCCCGGGGGCCTGAGGCTGCAC